TTCAAGTATTTCCTGTTGTAGAAATCTGTCTGATAATCGACATCAGGGAAATCGTTAAGGTACTGCTGGTATTGCCACATCCAAAAGTTTGTCGACACCTTAAAATCAGGATGAAATAATATTTTGTATTACAACGAGACTACCTTTAACTTACTCTTCCTATCGAGTAATTAGTATGTTCCAATCGATAAACAAGTTCGTTCAGTTTTGCACGTTTTCCAGCATCACGAAGATCAGGAGGGTTCATCACGTGGAACGTCGGCATCACATTATCGGCCCAGATAAATTTGTCTGTAAATATTACAATAAGAGCAAATAGAAAAAAATTTACAAAAAGTTCTCTCAAGTGAGCCCATAACTGTAGCACGGAATGAACTGGTAATCTGCACCGCACTAGCAGCTACCAACTTGAATCAGGAGCAAATAATCGTCGTGGGGCCCAAAAGTTTGATACATTCTTCGAAGCATGTATACTTATTGAGGTTATAAGACGAAAGTGTTGATGCAGAATAGTACACAGGTGGCTAGAAAATGAGGAAATCAGCAGAAATCCCAAAACCGGCTTTTTGATCTAATCTGTTCCACGATTGGACGAATTCATGACGACAAAGGGGTTATTTGGACGCCCCTGAAACACGACCTTGTGGGAGCCTCGAATTGTAATAAGTGTCTGGACTGCTTTTGAGGCTTTTAATGCGCCTTCACTGGGCCTTTTTAGGCACAACGACAACGAACCCATGTAGCATTCTGCTAGGCTAGAAGTTCCCTACTTCAACAAGTTGCCGTAACCATGCCATGGAGACCATGCCACGTTCGTCTCCAAAAAATGTTTTCGGATTTCTTGACACCATTTACAAAAGTCAGAAAGTTTTTCGTCCGGGATGCGTTATCCTTTCCAGTAACCTGGAGTTTCTGGAGCTTCTCGAGGAGCTTCTTGGTGACAAGATACTGTGCTTCGTTGTGAGTCACCATTCCCAATCCCCACGTGACGACTGTGATCCCGGCGATTGCATTTTTGACCGATTCTTGCGTATCCTTTCTATGTTTACGATCGTATACCACGCATCGGTCAATCGTCGATAAAACGACACCAGTTTCACAGGAACTGGACTGTATCTAATGACGTGCAAAGAGCTTTCACTGCATTCCATTTGGGATGATACCATTTTATATATAGAATCCATTTTTCGCACCATACTGTGCTCTAGTTTTTCCTTCTTTCTGAGTGCTTCGAAAAAGGAGGCGCTCACCACAGATAGAGAAAACGGTAAGCAGTTCCGTTCAAGGGACAAAGTGCCAAGAAATAGCACGACAGCAGAAGGATGCTCCAATAAGTTAGTAAAGCTGTAGGTCCCTTCACAACGCGCGGCAATTAGTAGCTAGTTGACTCGCCGCGCGCCGTTAGTCAGCCGTATTGATTAGTTGGCTCGCAGCGCGTCAGGCCGTCCAAGCATAACGCCCACTCCCAACAACAGTGTTAGTTATGTCATTTCGGTGCAGAAAAACTTTATATAGAGCTAAAGAAAGAGATTTGCCGGGAAATGGTTTGAAAAGAACCTCAGGGCCTTCGGTTCAGTTCAGAACGTTAGATTGAGATGGACTCCGTGTTTGAAAATTGAAGTGGCAAACCGAATAGCAAACTAACTAACAAAGCTTAACTTAAAACTTACCAGCCAATTTGACGAATGTTTGGATTGGTGAATTGTCCCTGATGTACTTCACAGGACTGATATCCACCTGAAACAAAAATCTCTCAGCTAAGACTCGCACAAACACGACATTCCTACGCCCTAGTGTTTGCCACCGAAAGCACTTCTGAAACAAAGCCTTTTTTTTGTTATTTTTCTAATTCGTCAGAGTTTATAAAAATCACTAGTGATGATTTACCTTGAGAATACAGCATCCATAGAGTGCAACGCATGTGTAAATGACAAAGACAATCCAACTGATGAGGCGAACATCGCGACGAAGTACGAACGGAGCGAAAACTTCGCCGAAGAACTTGTGCATGTACGGCACTAAAGAAAGAAAGAGACGGTTGCTGTAGCACCATGAACATTAACAGTACTCGTAACAGCTCGGCATTTGGTTACTTACAATTAGCTGCCTTGGAGTGGTGCTGTACATCGACCTCGACCTCACTAACTTTGTTGGTGTCTGACGATGCAGTACCGTTCTCTGCTTGAGGCTGAAATGTTGTGTGGGATTATTCATCGAGAGTTCCAGAAACTGTTACTTCTATGCTAAAGGCACATCGATAGTTCTGAGGCATATCGTTCATGTGAGATGATAGAAGTTATGGTGCAGAATTTGCAAAGATGAGCGAAAATCCGCGGATTTTTAGATATATAAGGATTCAAAAAAAGCAACAAAAAAGGGTGTTGAGTGAGATTAAAACGACGTAAGCTGTAACGAAGGGGTTTTGGGACAAGATGTCAGTTGCCACTATAGCGTAAAGAGCTGGCTACCGAAGTCAAAAATGACAAAAATTGTGTTCCACTAGGAGCATTGATAGCACTGAAGGCATAGATTATAGCATGAAAAACTACTTCATGGAAAAGAAAAAAGACGTATTATTGCTGGTTTCGCGGAAATGAGTCACTGCCTGTGACGTCTGGGTGCCTCTCAAATGAGAGCACTATCCGTCGGCGTCCTAACGCTTCATAGTGAACGGTGCCGCCTTAACAAAGCCGCCATAACACGGCCAATTCTGGAAGTGTTTGTCGGCCAAGTCAGTTCTGGAGTCCTTACACGTCGTGTAGAGGTCACTTTTGACTCCACGTCCCATATGCTATTTTTGGAGGCCATAGGTACATCATAGGGAAAACTCAGGAACTATTTTTATCGTGAACTGTGGCTTTAAAAGGGGATTTCACTAAATACCTACCTCATTGTTATAGCAGCAGGACGCTAGCCCTCCGGTATCCTCTTTACGGCCTGAGTAGCATATGACTGCCGCGAAGAATGTAATCTGAATGGATCAAAATGTAACATCGAAAAGAAAAAAAAATCCGAGAACAAAAAATGGCGTTGTCACATGCGCAGTCGTGTTGCTGTGCTCACACTAGGCCGACAATTCTGGTTCATGAATATCAGCTCCGCGATGAATATGGGGAAATCGCTTGGCAAATTCTGCTTTTTAATGATAGGATTCACATCCCCATTGACTGTTCCAGCGAATCCCCTCCTACTGCGACGCGACCGCACGCGGCAGTTTTTGCGTAACTCCCGTATCTGAGTTCTTAAGTGCACATAACATTTTAGATTCACCTGCATCACATAGTCAATCAAGACAGCCCAGGCAGTAATCAAGCAAAATTCAGCAACAGCTGGAGTAGAACACATGTAGTATCCCAGAGCTGAAATAGACAAGAGCGATTTGGAACCGAGCCAAAAACGAAGTCACTGACATGTGGGCCAGGTTGCATAGAAAAAAACTCCTTTAGATACTCACCAAAGCAGAAGAAGTTGGTGAAGGATGTCACTGTAATCGATGCTCCGGCATCGGCCATTACAAGCGCCACCTTTTGATGATGTGGTATACGCCTGTCCAGCTCACGCCATGCCGCTAACATCAAGAAATCATCATCAATACCTGAAAACGTGGTCATTGGTCAGAAGAAACTTATGGAGGGTTATCACAGATTTTTCAAAAAATCGCTTCTTAGTAAGTAAAATCTGCTAAAGTCAAAATGACTATTTGTCAGTTCCTAGACGGAAGTACTCGCGGCACCCCTGCAGTGATTTAGGCCACTTCATCGACGATTATGATACGTGTAAACAATAACTACGGAAATATCTTCCAACATCAGAAACTTTGTTCGAGGTGTGGTCAGTTAGGTTACAAAAAAGATTTGAAAATGCATTTCTACACTCGGATAGCAGTATACATAAGTTAAGTACCCTAAAATTCCATAGATAAGAGCGGGTGAACCTACCGGTGAAAAATGAATTGGAAAAAACCGAAATCGAATGCAGTCACCCCTCTAACTTGATGGATGGATAAATTAAACTTCGACGAAGAAGTTAAGAAGAAGCTCCGCCCCTCAACTCTAAACCCCGCCCACTTAATAAACAANTTGTTTATTAAGTGGGCGGAGTTTAGAGTTGAGGGGCGGAGCTTCTTCTTAACTTCTTCGTCGAAGTTTAATTTATCCATCCATCAAGTTAGAGGGGTGACTGCATTCGATTTCGATTTTTTCCAATTGATTTTTCACCGGTAGGTTCACCCGCTCTTATCTATGGAATTTTAAAGTAATAAAACTGCAGAATGATACTTTCTTTTCCTTCCTGGTAGTAAGCAGTAACTCAAAAATCTAGGTACTCGAAGAACTAGTCCAGTCAGTAAAGGTTATTCGTAGTTGGGACATTTCTTCTGAGAGACCGCCCATACATAAACGACTTCATCTTTAGAAATAAAACTTGGAGGAGACGAAATGCTTGAATCGGACGGAACAAATCGAAACCTAATGAGCAGGAGATCCACTGTACAGGTGAACATACGGTGAACCCAAAGACTCGGAAATCGGAGGTCGGAAGTCTTCAGCGCACAAGCACCATATAATTTCCAACAAAAAAACATTTTCAGAAAACATGATAATATTAAGCACGTACCTACGGCCAAGACCAGAAAAGGCATAGTTGACGTCACAGGATTGAAAGCGATGCCCAAAAAGAAGAAGATACCGAATGTACAGATCAGGGCCAGAATTACTGACCACACTCCCAGGTACATTTCAAGTGGTTTTGACCTGTAAACTTCTACCAATCAATAAATAGCCGCTCATATACGAAACGATTATGACCTACATGTATTTTTTAGAACTCCAATTCGAAAACACCACATAGAACATAAGCATAATAGTGGCTGGTATAGCGAAGGGCACCGTTGTTTCGATAATTTTCATCATTTCGTCATCCATAGCCTTTTCACTAAAGCGATTCTTTGACAGGAAAGAATAGCGATATTTCAATTGTTCAAGTTTAAGAACTCAAAGCATGGACACTGAACGATAGCATTTTTGCCTACATGACACATTTGTTGTGTATGTCATGGCAATGTAACTGGGGCGAAAATAAGTCGTTTGCTTTTGAATGGGCGCTGTGCTACTATGACAAAAAGTTGGAGAGAGTTGTTGTGGTGATCAGCAGGTTGCATAAATGAATTAGATAGTCGTAAATGATAACCGATGATAATGAATGATAATAAATATTGATAACAACAATATGGCTGGATTGGGTACAAGTCGACACAGTCACAGAAGCGTGAAAGGAGCGGGTTAGAGTTCAGACTTGGTCAGAGAAGTCGGCCTTTTAGAGGGTTGAACAGGACGAAAACAAACAAAAAAGGAATCATTGACGGTATGTCTAAAACTCATCTTACAATGAACGTGAACTTTGGAAAATGATTCAACATATCTAGCCAGATAAACATCCAATCAATACTGGTTCATACACATAATCAATACGTGAAAGCATTACTAGTGAAAAGCGCACAACTGATAAAGCATGGTAGGCCGGATTTGCTTCTACCACAATTTAGGACATCTTATTTTGTATGCTGACTAGTGTATGAAACTGAGTCCAATAAAAGATATGAAATGTCGAAAGTTCACCAACTTGTGCGGAATGAATTCAAATTCGGTCTCCTCCATCACTTTGTGCCAGAAATCCATGAGAGCCTCTCTGTAGGCGAAATATGCCGCATTGTTTTCTGGGGTCCCGGGGAACTGTACGAACCTGAACCCGCAAAATTCCATTGACTTATAGTTGCACTTCTTCTAAAGACCCAGTTCACGATAATCTGAGGTAACAAACCTTTACCTCTTACCAACTTTTAACTTTAATAAGTGGAATCTATGGCGCAAAGATAGTACAAAAAATGAGCGGGTACAAAAAAATACAAGGCTTCAAAAAAGTAACTGTAAAGGGGCTGTACGATTATAAACCGCCTGGGTGTCTCCCACATACGCGCACTACTCGTCGGCGTCCTCACGCCTCACTGTTAATGGTGCAGTCTTAGCAAGGCTATGATAACACGGCCAATTTTTCGGGTGTACGCCGGTCAAGCGGAGAACGTCCGTTGCGCGTGTCCGTCGAAAAAAGGTCACCCCGCCTACTTCGCGCGCTGCGCATCACACTGAGGTCTCGAGATGACATTACAGTACCACCAAGTGTCATTGGAGCAAATGATTTGCATTTGTCTGTGTTATCTTCTTGTTGAACTGACTGCCGTGGAACAAACGCAAAGCGTATGCCCCAATGACAATTGCGACATCTGTCAAATATCGCGGGCCGACTCGCCGCGTGCGACGGCTGCGGCGTGACCTAGTTTCGACGGACACGCACAACGAAGCGCACCCCGGTCAAGCCGGTCCCGGAGCTCTGATAACGCTCCGTCGAGGCCGTCGAGGCCATTTTTAATTCATCTATGCCCCACGAGTTAAACGTGAGAGCCAAATGTTTATTCTAGTGGAAGGGGGGATCTCAGGGTCTCAGAAACCATTTTATCGTGAATTGTGCTTCTAGACGAAAGCTGAGAACAAGTAAAAAATGGGGTGTAAATCTGGACAAACCAATGTAGTGTCAGCACTCTCGCTCCTTGAATCTCGTTTTTCTCTCCTTTGACATCGACACCATAAATGACCTTAAGGAAAACAGTCACAACACTTTTTTTCTTTTTCAAGCTTCACCTGGACACTACAAAACCGATGGTCAGTGATTTCACTCACGTTTCCGATATCCTTTGGCCTGTTGAATAGGTAAAGGACGGGGTAGGAAAGCTGAAGATTCGGATTCGTTTTGACTTTGCCATCTTTGAACAGTACATCTGCATGTTTGATCCAGACGTTCAACAAATTGTCACATTCCTGAAAGTACGCTATGGAATTTACTCGGAATCCTAACCCATTCCGGAACACGCTTACCGTTTGATCAGGATCCTTTTTACAGAAATCTTCCAGGTAGTACTGTTCGCCTTTGTATTCAGCTGTTACTTTCATCATCTTGTTTGTGTAGTCATAAAGTGGACCCAAGTATTTTGATTGTAGTAAGTTATCGAAGTTCTTATGTACCACATAAAATCGCAGTATGTCATCCTTCATGGGTGCTGTAATTGAACCATTAAAGAACGATGAAAAAACGAGTTCTAAACCAGTTCAACGTTTTGAGTACGGTCACGTGACACAGTGAATCGATCGCATCGCGTTGCAATCGATTCCCCTACTTCGTTACATTAGATCGATTCAAAAATAAACAATATTCACCAAAAATAACCGAAACATAAAAATTAGTAAGAAAAGCCACGCTACTTGTGCTTTGGAATACCTTCACATTTTGACCTGATGTATTTGTATTTTAATTATTAAGAATCCATTTTGGAGATCTTCTCATGGCATCTTTAATTTTTTCTGGCTTTCAATTACCAGTAAAGTTCCTTATCATAACAGGAGGGGGTCAGAAAGGTTACTGGCTCACACTCTGGCCCTTCGGAAAATTCTTGAAGTATATGAATTGATTTAGATTACGTTCCCTTTTCATTGCGAAAATTGAAGCGGCACCGCCCAACTTCTACTTCGTGCTTCTCCTTTAGCGGGATCTATCTTGAATTCCCTTAACTTTAGTTTAGGTGCAAGCATAAGATGTAGTAAGTGGTCGTCAAGAAGGCCAGAAGGCCTAGCACTACATCCCCTATCGTTAAGGATCTTGAATTCCCTTAACTTTAGTTTAGGTGCAAGCATAAGATGTAGTAAGTGGTCGTCAAGAAGGCCAGAAGGCCTAGCACTACATCCCCTATCGTTAAGGATACTTATTGATTGCATCATGAATGACGCGGCTACTTGTACCGCGCGAAACCATTTTCATACGCCTTGACATCCCAAGAGCAACGCCCATAACTAAGGTTGCCGTCTAATCGAAGGACAGATAACTGGTTCAGATTACTTCGAAATTTGGAACAAACGCACGAATAAATTGAATTACTTGCCTGTAGATTTGCGTGTGTGCGATTTTTTGGTCATTTCCTCCTTGTGGGGATCCATTTTTGCATCGCGTCTGAATCGAGTGATGTTCTCATCTAACGGAGCAGCTGCCACCATCAATTCGAGATCCCGTCGAAGCCGTTCCATTTCCACATCTTCAAAGACGTAACGGTCGTCACGAGGTAGACGTTTCTGATGACGTTTTTTCCACTGTCCTGGCTCTATCGAGAGGTTGCCAGCAGGCATCCTATTGAACTCCTGACCACGCTCAAACTCGTACCGGACCTTAAAAATTACTTTATTACTAAAAATCAGGCAATACTTGCTAAAAAAAACTTTTGAATGATACTTACAGGTGCATCCGTAGGTACAAAAAGTTTGTAGAGATCGAGATTGATTTTCAGAAAGAATAGGCCAGGTGTACAGCATGCAGTGAAAATTAATGGACCCCATAAAAACCAAAACGGATGCTTTCCCAATACTAAACCGTATTGATAGAACATCAATACCATCCAATCTTCAAACTTCTTGCCATATTCGGACAGTAATGAGGGCATGGCCCTGGAAAAGATTTGAACATGTTACTTTTGCGGAAAAAAATCGATAAATAACCGAATAATTCTTAGAAACAACTCAGAACAAACTTAGTAAGAGGGTTAGTCGCGTTAAGGGTGGATTATTTGAATGAGGTCGGTAAATTCAATCTGTAGGAGTCCGTCGCCCTTTGCAGGTAAATGTTCCACATGGACATGCAACAAATCCATTCACTGGCCTTTTTTTGACTGAGCCAGTTAGCCTCCGACATGTCGTCGCGGAAAGTGCAGAGAACAGCGAAACTGGGACGAAAATTATGGGCGACGCTAGTCTCAGGTAGGAGTGGGCCAGTAAAATTGCCAACTCCAAAAGGATAACTCATTCGAAGAGTTAGTAAGCAAAGTAGTCAAATCGAAAGCAATGACGAAGGCATGCAGACTTTCAAAAATGATTGAAATG